CGCTGGTAGAAGAGGATGAGATTGTGGAGAGAACATCAGTCACTGAAGCCATAACACTCAGTGCTGCTTTCAACACATCTTGAGAGCATCCCGGTTTCACTATCGTCCTCACCTGTCACAATCATTTACCACACATAGTCAATACAACTGAAGCCTTTGTCTATTTCTTGAGGCCTTCGCGTGATTAAAAAATGTTGGTACCTGATCGAGATACTCCTGCAGCTTCTTGATTCTCCCCATGTAATCTTGGTCTTCAACACACAGAGTTACTGCCTTTGCATCTGCACCTGGACCATCATACTGAACCGGTCCTGGGTTTCTGTACATATCTTCCATCAAGAATTTCTGCGCATTTTGTCTCAATAGCCTGCAAAGTTCAAGGAAAGATAAACCAATCTAAGTCACCATCACTTCAGATGTTGTGTATGTGAGAGGTTTAGCAACTTACTCGTATGCTTTGCCTTTCAAGTCCACCGTAGCTGGATGAATTACTGGTCTTCCTATTGAGGTAGAGCCAGAGTTTTGGGACCAGCGCTTAACCGTCATCATTGCCTATATGTTGATGACCAGTGAAAGAGAGTAGGTAAGTAAGACTGAATAAAACTTTAGAGTAAGTGAAAAAGAAAGAGCATATATCAAACAAATTTCAGGGAGGTAAAACTCAACCGTCATAGGTGCAGCACCACACTTCCATTTGTTTACAGGACTCTTAAGGTTAGTCACAGTTGCCATGTAGCCGTTCAAACCAGCGGCAAGGATGTGGTAACATATATGCCCAAGGACCTACATAATGTTACCATTTGATAAGTGTTAGTGTCTAAAACACTATTAAAGTTGCAATATCATTCTAGTGCGGTTGGCTATCACATACATAGGCATAGTCACAGTCGAATTTTGATGGTAGAGATCCACGAGCTTGGTAACCAAAGAAGTGGCAGATAGCATTGAACTTCTTCCCTTTGTATGTTCCTTCTTTCTGTCATTCTCGAAAGTTAGTGTTCAGAAGAAAGATCTATTTCACATATCATAAACAACTTGAATTTTGAGATCATACTAATAAAAGAATATCAGTAAAATGGGATTGTGATTTGTCAAAAAAAATAAAAAAAATCCGTGAAGCATACCGTGCGCTTGTTCATTTCAGTCTCCACGAGGTAAGCTAGAAGTTTCTCTGTCTCAATCTACGTAAGAAAGCAAATGAAGAATTAGGATTCTCGCTTTTCGAAGCAAAGTAGCCATCATTTTCATTCTACTGACCTGGGATAGCTGAGCTGAATCATCAGACTCGGGATGCAGAAGTAGCTGCAACAAGAGAAACGACAATTTCATTAAGTATTCATACTCTTAAACATGTGAGGAAAACAAAGAAAGTTTCAAACCAAAGAAATGGAACCTGTTTCTTAATGAATGGAGGCAGGAACTCAAACAAAGCAGATGACCAAGGTGACAGCTGAGTAGAAATGCTATCAGCATGCACACCCTCCTTAAGCAGTCCATGAATTTCCTACACCGCATAACGCCAACATGTAAGATACTAACTAGGTTTTGGTACACAAGAAACCAGAAAAATAGCTTTTCAAATTACCTTCAACAGAGCATAGAGTTCAGGAATACTCTCTACAATCCCTTCAGGAATTAGGATGACTCCATGGTTTTTGTCTGCGGAAAAAATAAACGGTTTATCACTGAAGTTAGTGAACAAGCAATAGACATCACTGCCAACATTTTGCATATTCTAATTATGAGACCTTGTCCTGCTCTTGCTTGCACAGCATCACAGATTTGCTTTGTGATGTCAAATATTGTGAGCTTAGATGCTGTAACCTCCTCACCCAGTATCACCTGAGACAATCGCATCACATGCAAGTGAGAATCTAGAGACAGCATTGCGAACAGAGTCGATTGTATATGTTTTAAAAAAGAATACCATGTTTGGATGAGACTGAAGCGTACACTCAAGGGCAACATGTGAATGCTTCCGGCCCATGAGACGGACAAAGTAATAATACTGTCAACACAGAGGAAAAATATATATTATTATAGAGAATAGAAAACTATATTAATATGAATAGAAAATTCATAAAGATGCAGCCAGATTAAAACACTTGAATGGTTGGGTGCCTTTAGCAACTTTCAAAAACATAACAACGGCCTGAAATATCATTTACCTTCTCTGCTGAAAGGGCATCGGTGCAGACATTGCTGATGAGTTGAGAATTCACCTGTACACGGTAGAACAACCATTAGACAAGATAACGAGAATCTGAAATGTCTGTGGTGGGGAGAGCAAGGATATAAATTTCAGTTACCTTGCATATAGTGTCGAAACCAACGTTTGCCTCCACAAACTGATTCTTGAGATCTCCATTAATAGTGACCGGAACACCAACTACCTGAAATGTATAAAAAACTTCTGCTATTAACGATCATCAGTAGAAAGGTGCAATCATATCACTTAACTGTTTGATAAAGTATCAGTCTGAGAAAAAGAAAACCGAGAGAAAACTAGAACCTTTGTTGAGCATTTTGCTTCAGCAAAAAATTCAGCAAGATGGGCGGCATCTGTGTTGGATGTTACACCTAGCCAATATAAAAAATACAATAAGCTTTCCAAAATTTGAAACTTAGATGCAATAATCACAACACTAGTAAAAACAAGAAGACTGGGTGGGTACCTCCAATGATAACAAGGCCATCCAATTTCAAGTCTGTGCAAGCTTTTAGAGCAGCATTAACCTGCTCAGTTGTTCTAATCTGATCCTTTGTTCTTCCAAGCAAATCAAAGCCACCTAATACAGCTTACATTAATCAGAGAGCAATACAAATAAGATTATGAAGTATATAAACAACATCTTTACAACCAACCTTGGTTTTTGTAGGTTTGGAGGACATCATCAGTGATCTCCAGGGTCTGTTGGGCGAATAAACCTTCAGAACCACCTGTTGACAAGTTACACAAGTTTTAAGCATAAACATCTTGAGCAGTTACACTTCACTACGAAACAAAGATGTGACTTTAAAGTAAACAATGAAGTTACAGCAATAAGAAAAGAAACAAAGCGATAAAAACAGGGCATACCCAAAAATCCAAGCAAAGTGTTTTTGCCGTTGTGCACTTTGAGAGCCTCATAAAGACCCCAAATTACATTGTGACCACCAGGAGCCTGCCTTCCAGAAAACACAATTCCAACCCTACAATACAAACCAACTAGCTCAAAAACCAACAAACATAACCCCATAGCAACAATTACAGAAAATAGTAATAAAGAGATATGTACAAACCTAATGGCTGGATGCTCGGTGATGATCTGAGCATCAGGAACTTTAGCAGTAGCCCTAAGGAAATGAGCCAAAGGCTGACCTAGTGTATGAGGGAAGGCACGTGCGATGATATGCGCATCACCAGCTTTTGCCACAGTGGTTCCATCTCCAAGTTCAACACGCACTGTCGTCCCCTGAAAAATTTACATCAACCAATAACAAATTCAATTAGAAAATTCCAAAAAAGATTTTTTTTAAAAAAACACTATTCCGAAAAAATCACGTTGAACTACATTGCGCATGTCCACGTCAACATGCAATTCCACCTACTAGTAGATCACGCTGTTAAGGGGATCTAAAACCCTAGATCACAGTCACTATCTATTTCTTTAAACAGATCTGCATGAACAGTGATAGTATTGCAAGTTCCTTAACCATAAAACCACAGTAAACAATTCGAAAACGTTAAAATATTCGTTAGATCGCAAAATTATGAAAAAACGAAACAGAGTATTTTAACGAAAAACAGAGAGATCCGAGCGTTGGAGACAGTGGAAAGAGTGAACGTGAAGGGATCTAAGGAGGGAGGAAGAGGAAACCTGGAGACAAGGAGGAAGGAGAGGTTGGTACTGAGATCGGAGTTGTTGGAGAGGAGAGAGTTCTCTAGGGATTCCGAAATCTGAATCCATGGCCGATCGAGTTTTTTTCGGTTAGGTTTTCGAGAGGGTTTAGGTTGGTGAGAGTCGAGACTGTATTTAGTTTTTTTTTTCGTCGAAAAAGGGTTTATATAGTGTGCGGGGGACTTGGCGATACGATCAACCAAACAGCCAAATATTTTTCTTGGTCTCCAATTATTCAACTCTAGTCTATATTTTCCACGATTACCCCCTAGTTATTATGGTTATTACGATATTGCCACTGTCACACTTTTAATAGTGAGGTTCTTTTTGGTTAAATCACTGTTTTTTATTTATTTTTGGGTTGATTTTCAATATTTTTTCTTATTAATTTTTAAATATTATAGGGGATTGGATTAATTATATTAATTATGTTATATTTAAAATTTGAAAGTAACAATATTTTACTAGATATTAATTTCTAGAATTTTAGGGTAACTGAAAATCAATATAATTTGGTATATACATATGTGTGGTATAGTTTTGTTGAGAAATTCTCACCTAAATGTGACCCAACTTTATAAAGGAAGAAACAACAAAGGCATATAAATGTGATGATGTTTCTAGAAAGGAGAGAGTGAATGAGCACCAAAGGATAGGTGAAGGGTAATTACGGAAGTACCAAATAACGAGAGGCAAATAAAAAAAGGAAACATAGGAGAATATATCCAGCATTCAATAGAAGAATATTCTTACAAAAGATAACACTGTAAAATAATATACAAGCGTGAGGAGTCTGGTTTTTCCCTCTTCCTCAAGTATTGCCTCAAAAACTACGTCCAGTCACATTCCTACCCATAGAAATCTTCTATATCAAGCTAATTTACGTGTAGATGCTTTCCTAAAATGGGCCAATTCCTTACATGCATGTATATTTAGACCTCTATTGGGCTCTTAGCAAAACCCATCAGTTATTGCTTTGTAATGGCCCATGTAATCGGGTACTTAACCAATGTCCATATAACTCTGAGATGGTAAAAGAAGTACAGTCAAGCACACAAGGTTATTGTTATACTAATGTTGATTAAGCCTCTAAACCAATTAGCTGGTGGGAAATGGATGTGTAAAATAGTAAAAACATAGCATCATGGATCATGAAAAATTGTAAAATAGTAAAACATAGCATCATGGATCATGAAAAAAGTATAACACAACAAGACATCAAAGTTTGGTGACCACCAAAAGGCAAAAACTAAAAGGAGTAGGGTCAGCTTTGCCTTGTGCTTATCTCAACAACTACCAACTGTTTGATGATTGTCTTCCGGATAAAGCCACACAAATAGAAGAGACATTAATTAAAACGACGTGGCAAATAGAACTACGAAGTTTCTAGGGCCTAAAGTTCCAAAGCCTTATTACCCAACCGGCCCATATAAATAACTCATAAAACAAAAAAAAACTGCATAAGAAAAGACAGAACAGAGGAGATGATGTCGACGACGGCAAGTCACGGGAGAGCGATGATGCTTCCATCTCCAACGAAAGCGTTACAACATCACCGACCGTCGATCTTAACCGTATCGGACATGTTCCACGTAAGACGAACGGAACCGAGGCGGTTCCGGCTGGTTGTTACAGCGACGGCGAAGTACAAGGGGACGAAGATGAGGGAGGAGAAGCTATCGGAGATGATAGAGGAGAAAGTGAAGGAAGCTACGGAGGTGTGCGAGGCGGAGGATAGATCGGAGGAGGAGTGTAGAGTGGCGTGGGACGAAGTGGAAGAGGTGAGCCAAGCTAAAGCAGATCTGAGGATCAAGCTCAAGCTTCTGAACCAGGATCCGCTCGAGAGTTTCTGTCAGGAGAATCCAGAGACCGATGAGTGTCGAATCTATGAAGAGTGAGAGAGTTTCGTGTTTTTTTTAATGATTGTATGTTCAGTTCAGATGTGATTTTTTTTTTTATAATAAGATAAGTGTCACATTTGTTATAATTGGACATGAAACAGAGATATTTGGAGATCTCAGTTTGGTTAGGTAACAAGAGAAACGATCATGGAGAGTAGAGAGAGTGAGAGACAAGCTGGGCGTTATCAAACGGCGTCGTGTCGACTTCCGTGTTTAAACGACTGTCTCGTGGTTAAAAATTTAACATAATGGGCCATTGAGTAAATTGGGTCTAGACTAACTCGCCGGGTCCGAGTGTTAAAGCGCAGGCCCAATCTCGTATCTACCGGCCTTTTTTTTTCTTAGAAAGAATCACAATCCTTATTGTTTGTAAATCTACCTGCATAGCCCATTGTTTTTATTTGACTAAAGTTAGCCCATTGTTTTTGTCTTTAGAAAAAAGCAATCAAATAAATATATTGGTAATGGTCACCATCTAGAGTACTAATCTCTCGACCAGCTGTGTCTGCGTCAGTGACTTCGTGTAATGGTTCCAGATTCAAATCATGTGCTTAGACTACAATGTGATCTTAAAAAGCTAAGATTTGTACTATATTTTGGAGTTTACCCCGGTTTTGAGAACTGCTTTTTCTTTCAAATGTTTGGTTTAGAAAGAAAATGTCACTATATCAAAACATTAGTTGTGTCAACTCCGATTGACCCAATGTTTATTAATAATGTTTTATACATAAAAAAAATTGCGACTCAAATCCTAAAGAATATGATTTATTATCATTTATATAAAACCAACAAAAATAAAATTTATATGAGATCTTTGGCGTGATGCATGTAAAACTGTTTTATATGATCTTTTTTCTGTTAAGAAAACTGTTTTACATGATCATACTATAATATTATGGACGTAATATTGTAAAGTAATTTTCAGAAATCAAAACCTTAGTTAAACCAACACAGAAATTAGAGAACGAGTTAAACCAACACAGAAATTATGTTTTCACCCTATGAAATCTCTTTGTGTTTGTAATACATACTACTGTAGTTTGTAGATTTTGGTTTTATTCACAACACCTATGTAAGATAATCTATATTCGATTTACACGTGTTCGAATTTCACGAGAATAAGAGAAAATCGAACTTAAGCAAGGATAAGGTCGCGTTCAAACTCAGGCGAACATTTACGAAACAGTCATTAGACAAATGGCACTTAACAAAACGTTCAAAACAATTCGTTTTTTTTTTTTTAAAAAAGATAAGTATAGATGATGAGTTGGATGACATACACATTTTTATTCTTAATTTGGCTTCAACGCTCCTGGTTTATAACCAACCACTCGATGCATTAAACCTAGGTTATATTTAAGTAATGTTTAACACAAACTTAAAACGTGTGTTCTCCTTGAAAGTTTCCAGATTTAAATATTTAAGTATAGACTGTACAGTTGACAAAAAGTTGTACACCATGAGATTGTAAATTCAAACCTATGTTTACGTCTTTAAGATAATGGAAAGTGATTGTACAATTTTTTTTGGAGCAAGAAATTAAAGTGATTGTACTCCTATGTAGCAATGACCACGTGCAGTGCACCATTCGCTAAAAGTCCAATCAAGAAACACCAGCAACTGTGTATGATAACTTAAGTATTAATTTTTTTTTTACCATATATTGTTGTTTTCGTTATCTTTTCCACTATTTTTGAAAAGATTGACGATAGTTTCTGGGGCTTTTTTGGTATTTGTTTGTTCTGTTGAGCATTTTAAAATTTAAAATTTTATATATACGAATAATCGAAATTCTGTTATGCATGAAAAGGTTTCTTGACGTTTACGCATAGACTTTTTCCATATTATAGACTCAGAGTACATCCCTTGAAGGCTAACGTTGTTCCCCCTGAAAATAAAATTACTTTCTTTTGTATTGTTGGTGAAGATATTGGAAACTTTGGAGCTCATGATCAAAATACTTGAACTGATGATTATTAATCACAAAATGTTTCTATCAGTAGTCGTATACTTTTAGTTTATCTTTTTTCCGTCGGTGAGTTTTGAAATCTATCGTACCTGAAGTAGTATTATTTCAGATATTTTAATGGAGATATTTTGACATACACCTGACTTCTCACGTGACCCGAGGGGATCCGCACGAAACTATGTATATTTTATTTGTGATATGTGATTATGCACTCAAACTTCGGTTAACATGAAAATATTCCATGGCATATGCAAATATACGGAGGAGATTATGAGTTTTATTTCTTAATCGTTTAACGAAGATTATTGGAAAAGCATTGTCCCTCCAGATTGTTAGCAGTTAGCAAACCTATTGCAACATTATATACATTCATGCAGAGTGGACACAACAAACAACAAAGTAAACAGTGATTTTGGGTTTATTTTTATTTTAAAATTAGAATATATATATATATATATATATATATAATCCCCAGTATTCATTCATAGTTTTTCACTATCTTAAAAATATAAAAGTTCAATTTATAATTTGTTCACGGCTTTTGTCACGTAGATTCAAATCTCTTTGATCTTTTTTTTATATTGCTGAAGTGGTTTTAGTTTTCATAATTATGGTTAAATAGTTACTATAGAATAAGTAACCAGTTGATGAATACACCTGGCTGTCTGTAGCAATCGGCCATAATTCAGTTGCTACCTGAATAATTTTGTTAACATCATTTTGTACAAGCAATTGTTAGCTAATAGCTATATACGCAAAACAATTTGTCCTCGACTATATGATCCAAATCAACTGTGTCGGCCGACAAACTAAATACGCTGGTTAGCTAACACTTAAACTATACTACAATAGAATTATGAAGGGGATCAAACTATTTTTCTTTTAGGGGGATCCAACTATAAACAAAGGTAATGACTGTAATGTATAAAAAATTACTACGTAGGAAACAAAAGAAAACTTCTTCACGGCAAGCACACTTTTCTATATATAATTATTATGTAAGCACATTCTACAAAACCAAGAGTACCGTTTTCTTTTTTTTTTAGAAAGCAGTCAAACCATATATTTCGTAAAAAGTCATCATGGTACCAAACTAATTAGTCACGAAGAGCTTCTTCTGGTAATACAAAACCGAGAATATTCTATTTGATCATCCAATAAAATTGATTAAGAATTCCATATTTTGTTTTAAAATCCTTGTAATTGTTAATTTATTATCATTATTTCCAATAACCTATGATTAACTTGCATGTTCTCCAATCAAAGCTTCCAAACTTTTCAATCGAATATTTGCGGTGAATATAATTCAGTGAAAAAGAAATAGTAACAAAGGATTTTGTGGATGAAAATAACATTGTATAATACACATCATGTCTCATGTCCAGTACTAATGGAAAGTGAGTTTAGATACAATATTTTCGATGTTTTAACTTGATACAAACTGTTGCTCAAAAAAAAAAACTTGATACAAACTGAGCTGTCTCTCTTGAACAAATGCACGTGAACCATATATTGTGAAAATACTTTTGGAACAAATGATATTTTTAATCTAAGCTGAAAAGAGAATAATAATATAATAGTAATAAAAATTAATAAAAAGAGAAAAGAGAAATGTAGTACAAGAAATGAAAAAAGAGTAAGTACAAAGCATGAAGTCGCTACGAATAGTTGTCAGTATCCTGTGCCAATCTAATGCCATCCACTTTCGTACTAATCACAGCTGTTTCTCACTGAAACTCATTTCTCACTTTATATAACTCATTACTCTTTACATACAAACAATCTTGTGTACACTTCCATCAAAAAAATACTTGTACATAGCTAATTTCTACAACATTGTGTAAAGACTAAAGAGTATCGTATAAAAATGGTCGAATATTCGTTTATTGGAAGTGTGAGATTGGCACTTCTCTCTCTCCCTCTCTAGTTTACAGAAGGGCTAAAGCGTCTTTTGCATATGTTCAAATTGGGTGGACTGATTACTGTTTAGGCGTTACCTGCTTGTTATGACGACGACTTCCTCCAAACCCGGACGCGCTTTATGATTTTTGAGAGTACTTTTTACGGCCTTTATGACTTATGAGTAATGTTTTCTATTATGAACTTAAAAGTTTTTAGCCTTATTAAAAAAAGTCAAACTTGTATGTATTTTTTATTCGTGGTTTAATCTCCAGGATTTATAAGTAAAAAAATATCATTTCAATGTCAAAAATACGTAAAGAGATATATAGTGAATCAGTTATTTAGGTTTAGGGATATGATCATATGAAAAGACTTTCTTAAAAAGTTATTTGAATGATATTAGCGCAATTTGCGTTACTGATAGATATATGAGTTAGTCAATAGTATATGTATCTAACTGTCCCTTTGATTTTTATTCTGTTAACATTTTGATTACATATAAGCCAAGTCAACATCATAATGCCACACATTCTCATTTCCAAATAATGTTATTTGTTTCTATAATATAGTTTCTATCAGTTTCATATGCTCATCTCTATGGTCAAATCAAAATGTCTTTTAAAAAAATTTAGAGAAATATATGAAGTAAACTGAGCGAAATTCTCTTCTAACAAAATATGATTATTGTCGCTTTCAACTTTGGTTAAAAGTAGTTAACGATAAGTTATCAATACATTTGTATACTTTATCAATATCAGAGGCTTTTATTTTTATAACAAAACCTCTCTCGTTTGAATTTAATATCTTTTGTTTTTCTGTACGTTACGTTTCTATTTTTATTTATTTTTAAAGTCACCACATGATATATCAATTATTGACGAATATAAAAATTAATGTTTGTCGTCAATGGTTGATAGAAAAAAACAGGAAATTCAATGGCGAGTACAAAGAAATAAAATGCACACAAACAAAAATAATACGAATCTTGGATTATTAACAACAATAAAAAAATATATTATAAAACATTTATGACATATTACAGAAACACCCTTGTTCTTTTCGAATTCACAGTCTGTGCCATCATCACCGAACAACATAAAGAAAAAGGTTTTGTAGTAAAAGCTAAGAAAGTCGAAGACGATAGAACAAAGAAGACAGAACACAGAGAGACACAGAGAGAGAGAGAGAAGAGAGAAGCTTCCCAGAAAAATAAAAAGAACTAAACTTTCGATTCCTTCTCGTTCCTAAATCAATCCCCTCAGAGCCAAGATTCGATTTTGGAGTCTGAAGAAGCTGCTGAAGGTACACATCGATTCGTTCCGACAAAGAAAGGAGAAAGCCTTTTACTGTCTCTCTTCAATTCCAATCTCTGAGCTTCTTTCTGAGTGATTCAGGTCAAGAGATGGATGAGGTGGGTCCACAAGTAGCTGGTCCGGTCTCAATTCACAATCCCATAGGGAGAAAACGAGATCTTTATTACCAGATGTCGAATCGTCAAGCTTACTGGCTCGCCCCGTCTCAGCCACAGGTGAGAAATGATTGGAACCCTAAGATGTGGGAATGGGACAGTCAGAGATTCGAAGCTAAACCTGTAGAGGAGGCACAACAAGAGTCTCTTCAGTTTGATCTCAATGCGAGGAGTAACAGTGAAGATGATGTTAACAACAACAACAACAACGGTGGTTTGAGTTATGAAGGGGAAGAAAGAAGAGGTCTTGATTTGAATTTAAGCAGTGGTTTTAACTCTGTGGAAGAGAGGGTTGTTGTGAGTAGACCTAACAAGAGGGTTAAGTCTGGATCTCCGGGGAGAAACTACCCAAAGTGTCAGGTGGATAATTGTAAAGAGGATTTAACTGTTGGTAAGGATTATCATAGACGACATAAGGTTTGTGAGGTTCATAGTAAAGCTACTAAAGCTCTTGTTGGGAATCAGATGCAGAGGTTTTGTCAACAGTGTAGCAGGTGGGAAGATACTGAACTTTTTTTTTGAAATCTAGAATATGATTGGGTTTTTAACAAGTTTTGGATCTTTTTTGGGGTTCTAGGTTTCATCTTCTTTCGGAGTTTGATGAGGGGAAGAGAAGCTGTAGACGTAGGTTGGCTGGTCATAACAAGAGGAGAAGGAAAACTCAGCCTGAGGAGGTTACTTCTGGGGCTGTAGCTCCGGGGGATTCTGATAAAAACGGAGCTAATATGGATGTTATGGCTTTGTTAACAGCTTTGGCTTGTGCACAAGGTAAGTGACATCTTTCTCCTCTTTGGTAACTTCGGTATCAGTGGGAATAAGCCTTATTCTCGGTATGTGTGTTTGCAGGTAGGAACGGTTCTCAACCTAATGGGTCTTCGGCAGTGCCGCAAAGAGAGCAGCTTCTTCAGATACTTAACAAGATCAATGCGTTGCCTCTGCCTATGGATCTTGTCTCTAAGTTGAACAATATTGGAGTTTTAGCCAGGAAAAATCTGGACCAACCTTCGGCTATGAACTCACGAAATGATGTGAATGGGGCGGCCTCTTCCCCTTCTACCATGGACTTACTTGCTGTTCTCTCTTCAACTCTAGGTTCGTCTGCGCCTGAGGCCATAGCGTTCTTATCTAAAGGAGGATTTGGTAGCAATGATAAGACTAAGCTAACTTCTTCTGACCAAGCCACTGCAACTAATTTAGAAAAGAGAACTTTGGAGTTTCCTCCTTTTGTGGGAGGAGAGAGAACCAGCAGCAGTAACCCGTCTCCTTCTCAGGATTCAGATTCACGCGCCCAGGAGACTAGATCTTCTAGCTTGTCTCTACAACTATTCACCTCTTCACCAGAGGATGAGAGGCAACCAACGGTTGCATCTTCAGGAAAGTATTATTCCTCTGCGAGCAGCAACCCCGTTGAAGATAGATCACCATCATCATCTCCGGTCATGCAGGAGTTGTTCCCAATGCATACATCTCCTGAAACCATGAGATCTAACAATGGCAAAAACTCTAGTCCTAGTCCTAGAAATAGTTGTTTGCCTCTAGAGCTTTTTGGTGCATCAAACAGAGGAGCTGCTGTAAATCCTAGTTATGCTTCGTCTGGTTCGGATTATTCACCTCCCAGCTTAAACTCTGATGCTCAGGTATGCAGCTTGCCCCATTCCCAACTAAAATCAATGTCTTAGCAAAGCATGTCTAATGATACTTTCATGTGTTTTTAAACAGGACCGCACCGGGAAGATAGTTTTCAAACTGTTAGGAAAAGATCCTAGTCAGCTCCCTGGGACATTGAGAACAGAGGTAATAACTTTTTGGGGCGTGTTTTAACCTTATTGAATTGTATTAGAATTATTGATTGCTCTTCTTTAAGTCATAAGATCCTAAGATTGCTCAACTCTTAATTTTCAGATCTCTAGCTGGCTTTCTAGCATTCCATCAGAAATGGAGAGTTATATCAGGCCTGGCTGTGTTATTCTATCTGTCTATGTGGCAATGTCAGCTTCTGCTTGGGAACAAGTGAGTTGATTTGCTTGAATCGTTGGTTAATAGTATTCAAATTTCACTAAGCATTCTAAGGAGCTGATTGGTTTTTATATGTTCTTCCTTTAGCTTGAGGGAAACTTGCTGCAGCGGGTTAGTTCTTTGGTTCAAGATTCAGAGTTTTGGAGTAACACAAGATTTTTAGTCAACACAGGCAGACAGCTTGCATCATACAAACATGGTGAGTTCTGCTACTTCTCTCTCCGTTGGTGCTTATGGTCTGCAAGATAATAACTTAAGTCATTGCTATGCAATGTTACAGGTAAAATTCGTCTGAGCAAATCTTGGAGAACTTTGAGTTCACCAGAGTTGATCTCAGTGTCGCCTGTTGCTGTTGTAGCCGGTGAAGAAACTACCTTGGTAGTAAAGGGTAGAAGCTTGACGAAAGATGGAATTAGGTACACCATTTTTTGTTGGTATTTAGCCATTTCTTCTCATGTTTCTGTTTTAGTTTTATTCTAAGCTTTGAGGTTATTATGATGCAGTTTCCGTTGTGCGCATATGGGTAACTATACCTCAATGGAAGTAACTGGAACAGCGCATAGAAGCACCAAATTTGATGAGTTAAATGTAAATAGGTTCAAAGTCAAGGGCCCAGGCTCTCTGGGGCGTTGTTTCCTTGAGGTAAAACTTTGAAATAGCCGAACTTATAGTTTCTTAGTAAATCAAGGTTTTGGAAGATGTTAGTTTAACACTTCATGTTGTGTCAAACAGGTGGAGAATGGATTCAGAAGCGACAGTTTCCCTGTGATAATTGCCAATGCCACCATTTGCAAAGAGTTGAATCGCCTTGAAGATGAGTTTCATCCAAAAGACATCACAGAAGAGCAAACATACAACTCAAATCGTCCAAGTTCAAGAGAGGAAGTACTTAGTTTCTTGAACGAGCTTGGATGGCTATTTCAGAAGAAATGGGCATCTGGAGAATCTGACTTTTCCCTCCCTCGCTTCAAATTCTTGCTCGTATGTTCTGTTGAGAGAGATTACTGTTCTCTCGTGAGAACACTCCTAGATATGATGGTGCAGAGAAATTTGGGAAACGATGGTTTGATGAACAAAGAGTTGTTAGATATATTGGCTGAGATCCAGCTGCTGAACCGAGCTGTCAAAAGGAAGAACACAAAAATGGTGGAAACGTTGCTTCATTACTCCGTTAACACTACTGCTAAGAAGTTCATCTTCTTGCCTAGCATCAAGGGACCTGGCGATATCACACCTCTGCATCTGGCTGCTTCTACATCAGGCTCAGATGATATGATTGATGTCCTGACTAATGATCCACAAGAGGTATAAGTTTCTACTTTTAGAAACCCCTTGTTCTCTCTTCTGAAAGAGTGTTCTCACTTTGTTTATGGTTTCAGATTGGATTGTCATCCTGGAATACCCTGATCGATGCAAGTGGACAGACTCCATTTAGCTATGCCACAATGAGGAACAACCACAGTTACAACACCTTGGTGGCTCGCAAACTTGCAGATAAAAGAAACGGTCAAATATCTTTAAACATCGAGAACGGGATCGATCAGATTGGTGTGAGTAAGAGACTAAGCTCAGAGCTCAAAAGATCTTGCAACACATGTGCAAGTGTAGCTCTCAAGTATCAGAAGAAGGTATCAGGCACACGTCGCTTGTTTCCAACTCGGATCATTCACTCCATGGTTGCTGTTGCCACTGTCTGTGTCTGCGTTTGCGTGTTTATGCATGCTTTCCCTATCGTCAGACAAGGCTCACACTTCAGTTGGGGAGGTCTTGATTATGGCTCAGTCTAAAAAAAGAGTACAAAAGTCTTTGTATCATTAAGTGTTGTTAACTCTTTTTGGGTTAACGCAAATCAAGAAAAAACGTGGTGAAGAGATCAAAAGAGAGGCAAAGTGAGAAAACTCCAAAGACCTGCGGCTTCTGGACATTGCAAGAGAGTACAGAGAAGAGGTCAAGAGTAGAGATAGCTTCATCACCTATGTTTGTTTTATATCTTGGCTAATTATGTTGTTGTTTATCTCTTTTAGTTACACTTTTAGTCTTTTTTTTTTTCTCTTAACAACACAGAAGCTGTGGCTATATGCTTGCTGGTAAACTTGTAATGTAACATCCTTTTTTTCTAATGCAATGTATAAATAGTATCACCTTCTTGGTAAAAGATTTGTTACTTAAATCCATTTAATTCGACCTGTTTCTTTACATGAGGGTCACGTGGTATTGACTATAGTTCAGGTCGGTCAACAGTGCGTTGCTCCTTTTGTTCACCTTCTTCCCACAAGTGTCTTTCCTTTTCACTTTTTGAATACAAACAAAAAAAAAACTAATTTTCTTTATGTGAAGTTTAGAAAGAGATAAGATCGCAGAAAAAAAGAGGAGGATTCGTCAACTTTATCTCCCAACATTTTTGAACAAGTAGTGGTTATGTTTAGTTTTTTATTGATAGCTACTAACTGATTACGTGGATCACACTTCTCTTGTTATTAAAATTATTATCATCATCTCCTTACCATATTCTATGTACTATAGTTTATTGATTCGGTCTCTTTCACGAGTACTACATTACGTTACATTTGTGGATGACTTACTCATAGTCATCTGTTTATATTATATTAAAATGTGTAATGTGTTACTCATACTCATCTGTATATTGTTTATGATGTGTACTTGTTTATTGGCCAGCAAAAAATATGAAAATTAGAAAGAAAAGAGACATTTTAGATAATTTACTAAAGAATATATATTTTTATTGGATGTCCTTTTGAAGGCTTGTTACTTTCAATCACACTAGTCTATTAGGCTTCGAATGGTAAAAGCAGATCAAGCGGTGCAGATCAAGCGGTTCATGCAGATCAAGCAGGACAAGTGCAGATAAAGCAGGACAAGTGCAGATCAAGCGGATCAAACAAGAGAGATGCAGATCAAACAATTTATCATAAATTATGAATGGCAAAATAAGTTCAAAACTATAGATCATATATTAAAAGAATAAAATTATACCAAATATCAATATAAATATTTAAATGTTGTAGGATCAGCCTAAATGCTTATTGGATTTTTCATAAGATGATTGTAGCGTTTTAGTTGATCAAAATTATTTTTGAATAACAGACATCTTAATATTTAATTCTTTGTTAATATTTATATATAAAAATGGAGATAAAACAGATTAAATAATTTATTATAAATTATAAATGACAAAATATGTTCACATTATATATCATATATTAAAATAATAAAAATTACACCAAATATCAAAACAAAATATT